AGTCTTTAACCTGGGATCCATTTCGATGCTCCTCTTGACAGCCCTTTTTGTCCTCTCCGATTAACCAGGAAGACCCGGACGCTGCTCAGTTGTTTCCTTGCCATGTTTCCTGAACTGCACGATGATTCTGTTGACTGTCGAAAGCAGGATTCCCAAATTCTGCGAAATTTGCCGCTCACTTATTCCACCATATGCTTGACCAACTATCCTTCCTCTAACGAAATCTGACAATTCGTGAGAACCTTGAGTTCTAGGTATGTTGTAGCACAAGATAATTAGTATGCAGACCATTTTCATGTATATAGTGCTCTGTGAACACAAATTAGTCAGCATAAATCAGTTAAATGACGAAAAATTAGGTGTCTATTTACTTGTGACCACTCAGTGTATATTGCTATACATTTTCTTTACTTTACTTTATATGGGTTATCCTTAACTTTCACTTGTGATATTCTACGTGTCTTTTACAGATTTGTGAAGATCTGTGTTCTCTTTTAACCGTCAAACTTTACTGAAATAACCAAACTATTAATTTTAACATATTTCAAATCATTATTAGGAAAATGTGTCAATGACGTAACATACCCAGAGTATTGTGTGTTCCTTTTATGACCACCAACAGAGAGACTGTTTTATTAATGCAGCAAGTGTTGTAAGATGAAAATAAGTTATTTACCAAAAATAGTCTGTACTTAAATTATCATCCATGACCCAGTTTTAGGAAAACAAGACAAAGCCTGGTCCAGAACCCTTACTAGTTTCCCTAACCTGTGGGAATCATATAGATAGTGCAAGAAAGTGTTATATAAACTTCACATTGTGGATAATGAACAAATAAATGGTAAAATCTTACTGAAAATCTATTTAAAACCTCTTTTACAGTTAAATTAATTTTCCTGGTAGAACAATGTTTCTTCTAAACTTACTACAAGAACCTGAACAGCTTTTTCTGAATCTTTTCCCAAACCAAGTCCAACATCTAGTAGTGCATCATCATCACTAAGAGCCAGCTCAATATCATCTCTGTATCTCTTTCTTTTTGTATTTCTTGCAGATCGCCGTTTCTGAGAACAAACAAAATTATCGGTGACTACCCAGTTTCCAATATACCCATTTCAAACTACACATATGGAAAAACACAAAGACATCTCACAAGTACAGGGAAAAAAAAAATACTTAAAGAGGAAAGTGTTATGAGCAAAATTAAATAATACCTATTACCTACTCAAAAAAAACTTTCTTAAAAACTTATAATTTTCTAATCTTTTCATGTTTTAATATCTAATACACATGATTATGCATCATTCATGCTTCTTTATACTAAAAAAAACTTAAAACCTTTAAGGTAGTTTCATCTGAAATCAGATTCAATAAAACTATACTTAAATAAGCTGTGTACTTATTATTTTATAAAAAATAACCTGAGGAGTTTTATTTTTTTATTTTCAAAGAAACTTTTCAATAGTACTCACCTGAACTCCTTCACCCTCTGGTGAGGGAGGTGGGGTTACTTCAAGATCAGATTTATCAGATGAACCTAACCGTTTTCGTTTCTTCTTGCAAAACTTTAAAGACACCCTAATAAAAGACCATAAACCAATGCATTAATTTATATGCAAGCCTAATAAAGATTTTAGTCTCTATATAAACAGTTTAGTACAAAATTTCACCGTGACTGGCTAATTAAACGAGGTGTTGTCAACAGTGTGGAGGCTAGCACTATAAGAGTGTAAAAGAGGAGTAGATAATTTCATAGAAAATAAAGGGTGGGTTTAAATTCTTGCTTTTTTTCAAGGGTAGGTATGCGAGGACCACCTCAAAGAACCAAATGGGCCCTTGTTGTCCACATGTTATTTTAATCACAGATTTATAAATCCAGGTTCTGACACAATATCACATTGATAATATAAAACAAGTTTGCTTACTACAAAAGTTATTGGAAACTTCTTAACAGTATAATTCTTATCAAGGCCACATTTCATTTTATGTTTAGCCATAGTTTCCTTTAAGCAATGTTCCCATTCATGGTAGAGCACAGAAATTATGTAAATACCACAGGTCAATCAGGGTTTGATATGAAAACCACCAATGCCTGCTTATAAGTCTACTATTCATATCCTTGAGTTATGCATCACTGCTTATTCTAGTTTACAGTACCATTGATGGCAATTATATTGATATACAATTAGTGCATGCTGGCCTTTTGAAATCCCTTCCTTAGAACACTCACAGAGATAAAATAATAAAAACAAATCAAAAAGTAATTTTTCCATTCTAGGCATCTAAAACCAAACTATTTCAAATCAATTCTATTTGAAACTTGTACACAAATACAACTTTATTCACACTTAAATATTAAAACATTTAATAAACACTTCTTCCTTTTCTTAACCAATTTTTTAAATTACTTTTCATGTGCAAGTTAAAAGGGTCTAACACATTAAGAGACATCTTTGTTCCTAATGTAAGTAACAATTTGTCTTATATTTATTTGATGCTTTTCCAGTGTATCAGTGGTAAACAAAAGTTTATAATGCTTAAAATTGACGTTTGATCCTGTGATGGGCACAATACAGGTATCCACAGGTGTAGTTTTGAACTTAAAATAAAAACAGACTCAGTTGATTTATAGCCTTCAAAGATAATTTTTGCTGCTGCTTTTCTATTTTACCTTTACTGGTATCTAACTTTTTGTGTTCCTTATGAGCCAATGTGAGCCTCGTGCTAAGAATCATGTTCATGGAATCATGGAGAATATCTTTCTGACTGAGAATTCAATAGCAATATTATATATATATTTCACTTTTTGAATTGCTGAGTAAGAATCAATGGTTATGCAACATCAAAAACTTTTCACAATGTGTTGAAGGATACCCTGCACTTGTTGCTCATGGAGACAGCTAAACAAGCTTTCATTTTAGAAATGAACAGGTGCTTATTCTGTTTCAGAACCTCCGACCACCAAGGTTTATCTTCACATAGTTACCATCAGTATCTATAGGTGATAGAAGGCAAATCAATGTGGTATTAATGTGCCTCCAGCTGGTAGTTTATTTTCTCATCCTAAGATTACATAGTGTAACCTCAAACAGTTTTTTTTTTTCAACCCAATGAGGAAACTAGTATTTCCTCCTGCTAGTAGATAATTCTCTCATTTTCAGGTTTACTACAGAGATATCAGAACTGGTAGCCACCTGTGAGATAACATATTACCAAACACATCAAACTCCAAGCATCAGGTATTTCTTCCAGGGATTCCTTCAATTCTGTTAATCACTTTATATCATTAACATAATCTCTGTGGAACCCTTCTACTCAAAATAAAACAGAATGCAAAAAGCTTTGATGCATCATATGTGTGTGTGAAACAAGTCACCACCTACTTCTATGTCGAGAAGGTAGGTTGCCTTCTCTCAAACTTTTTCCAATCCACTCTTAAATCCAAACATCACATTAAATGGGTCCATGACAATGGACATTTTTTTCTTTCAGAAACTGAACAATTTCATTACACAAGGTCTCACTGTCCACTTTTTATCATTTTCTCATACTCAATGATTTAATGTGCTCAACAATGCAGCCAATATTAGGAGAAAAATAACTAACATTCACTTAACACTAATTGTATGGACAGTGCATGTCAATTCATCAGTATTATTATCAGTATTTTCTCAAGTTTCATCTTATACACAACAAAAAGAAAAAAAAATTGAAAAAAGTTATTTTCTGATTAATAATAGGTACATGTGCCAAATGACAGATATAGAATAAAAGACAATAAACTAAAACTAAGTACAACACTACATACCAGAAATAGCATATTAATATAAGGACAAAATATAGGAGGGCTTACTTTGGTAGTTTTTTCTTAGGTGAAGATTTAGTCTTCTCTTTGGGTTGAACTGTTTTGGGTTTCACTTCCTTCTTCTCAGTTGACTCTTCTTGAATTTCTTCTCCAGGTTTAACTACTTCTTCTCCTCCTTGTTTTACTTCCTCTCCTTGGATTTCTTTTTTAACTTTTGATTTCTTTGAGTCTTTCTTCGGTTTAGGCTGTTTTGGAGGTTTCGGTGGCTTAGGTGGTTTAGGTGTTTTCTCTTTTGGTTCTTTCGGGGCTTTTGCTTTCTTTGGCTTTTTAGGTTTAGGTTCTTTTGGCTCTTCACCATCTTTAACTTCCTTTTCTTTAGTTTTTCTCTTTTTTGCTTTTTTAGGTTTATTATGCTCAGACTGTTCTTCAAATTCAAAACTTATGGATGTCACTTCTTCTGTGGATAAAACCTGAACCAAAAGTATTTAAAAAGAAATGAAAACTTCATATAAATGCATAGGCTTTCACACTGTTATAATGTAAATATATATTGGGAATAGAAGAGTCACATTTTTTTTTTTTTTAAGATTTATATCATTTACACAAGTTTCACTAATCGGTTTTAACAGGTTCTACTTCAGTTAAGCGATTTTTTTTAATCATCACTAGACATAAAACGTCATGTTAATAAAACTAGACGTAAAGTATATTATTTTTTAGAAGTGTATATTGTAACCAGTGTTTCTATACTGCTTACTAAATACAAAATCCTGGATAATTTGTTTCTTGTATATTTATCCATAATTAGATCTGTTAGTTTATGGTATGTTTTACACATGTGAAACATTTCTAAGACATAATTTTATACAATAGTTCATTATTATAGCTCTTCTAAGTTTCTATATTTAAGAAAAAGTCTTTATTCAGTACAAACACACAAAATCTTTCAATGACATATTCTTTCCAATAGATATTAACACTATATTTTCTAATATAGCTTTACTTTGGTAAACATATTAATTTTGGGGAGGAAATGTGTCCTGCAAAATCTTCTGTAAACACAACAAATGTGATACAAAGTAATAGTAATAGAAAAATTTTCATTTCTTTAATATTCATTTAAAAATAGGTGCTCATTTAAAATCACAATTATTTTAGGCAAAAGTAAACTCTTGAAAATGAAAAGATAAAGTACTCTTTTACAAGTTCTTAACATAATAATATACTTTAAAATAAAATAAAAATTAGCCACTGTAAGGTTATAAGCTTAACAAACAAATATGCTCTTTCTACATGAAGTTTTATTGGAAAAAGTACTTTTTCCCCAGTACCATTTTATTATTAATTGTCATTTTTTTTTTTCAAAAACAATTATTCATTTTTGTCAAATCTATTAACATAGCTTAGATCCTATATATTAATAAAAAAAAAAACATTATTCATTCCAGAAATGTATAACTGTAAATACATTTAACACAGAACAACTAGATTAATTTTAACCCCACCTTTGGAATATCTGTATTACCAGCAGAGTGTGCTTTAGCAACTGCTTCCATTACTATTCTATTTGCTTTTGCTTGAGACTTTTTAGATTTGTAGCCACTTTTGGTACCCTTAGTTTTTTTACCAGTAGGTGCTTGATCTGAAAGGGACTGAAGTGAAGTCTGTTCAGGAGGCATTGGGTACATTCCTTCTCCCTGTCCCAGAAATATATCCCCATTTTGAAGAGGAAGCTGAGGGATCATCACAGAAGTATCCATCTGTTGATCGGCTGTGACAGCTGAGACTGGACCCTAACCATAAGAAGTAAACATTAATCCTAGTTCTCATTTGTACAAACTAACATGCTTTTAACTTTAGACCATGAATTATATTTTTTAATATCCACAAGTAACAGGTCACAAAAATTCCCACTTAAAGTGCTCTCCTTACAAAACACTTTAAAATCTAGTACTTACAATAAATATTAAAACTAAAATACTGTGATGCCAGTACAAAAATATCTTCAAGAAGTTTCACTGACATACAGAATGAAACTTCCAACAACTATTATTGACAGATGTTTTGACTTTAGAGTTTCCAAACTTTAACACATTAATTTATTACCTACATAACCCTACAGGATATCTGCCAAAATTAAATGATTAATGAACGTTATCTTCATACTTTTAGGATACATATTTTAAATAGACTTATCTGTAACATGGTGTTTCTTTCTGAGCAACTAACTCTTAACTTTTAAATACTATTTAAACTATTCACCTGATCAACCCCAACATGAACTGTAGATAAACTTGCATCGTTTGTGACACGTGGTGAATACTGTGATGTAGGAGGAATGGGTGAAAGGCCCTGTTGAGAAGGGGTTTGAGGAAGAGGGGATCCATACTGTGCAAGATGTTGCTGTTGTTGTATATACTGGGTCTGAGGGACAGAATTATACTGTGATGATGGTTGAGGATATGGAGGAACACCCTGGCTTGTGACAGTTGGAGGCATGGAAAGTGAAGTGTTTGGACCTTGGCTTACTTGAGACTGTAACATACGTAGCCGATCCTGAAGTTCTCCAATCTACATCAGAAAAGTAATAATCATTCAGTCTCATATTAACATAAGTATTCCTAATCTATGGTTAAACATTTCGAATTCAAATGTCATTTACTTTAATTTATTCAAAGTTTTTTCCTCATTTACTTTCCTACTTGTTAAAATTTTTAATCTTAAACCTAGCACTAACATAATATGCATTAATTCATTGAGACTCCAAAAACTTACACCCCTACTTTCTAAACTATTGTTTCTGAGCTCAAAGCACCACAATAAGCTCCTACATAAGTGGGTGTGTATGTACAGTTCTATTTATCCCATATCACATTAGCTTAAAGCACTTTAGTGTAGTATGTATTTTTTATTTCTATCACTGCAAGTATACATGACAAAAATTAAATATATCTACACTTCATGTGAAGTATTATGTCTTTAACATACACCTTAGTAAAATGCAGTGATTTCAATAAAAAGGAAGTAATACTTTGTTTAATAATTTTCTAAGTGCTTTTCCAAGGAGATTATTGCCACCAATTTGTTTTTCTAAAAAATGTTTTTCAACTTATCTTATTTTGGCCTTCTGCAGCACCTTAGACCAACTTCAAAATGCCACCCTTCAGTACTCCCCAATTAGGTTGAATGGATCAATTTTACATTCACTCTGAAAAGGCAGTGCCTAATACCTTAACATACTGAATGTTCTGTATTACCTGCATCTAAGTGAAAAATGTACCTTCCTGATAACTTGCATGACAGAGCAACTATACAAAACACACATTTACATTTATCACATAATTTAGGTACTGACAAACATTAAATAACATTCTTCAAGAAAGTTTTATAAACTTTATTCTTGTTAACAAGAGTAATTCACCAGATAATTAAAAGATGTGTTTTTCTTGAGAAAAGATACCCAACTTTTGTTTAGAATTTATAATAACTCTACCACTTATGCAAACATTATCAACCACCAATTTTATGCAGCTGCATAATTATAGTTAACTGTTTACCCTTCCCATTCAAAAAGTATGAAAACATCTTTAAGTTACGGTAAATCTGTTTAATATAACCCAACAACATACACTTGTCCTAACATGCATTTACAAACACCCAGACAGGGTACTTAAATAGCAGGATGAATGAGTGTTATGGATATAAATATTTATACTTCCACTGCATTAAATGAATAAAGGATCAGCAGCATAAGATGAGTAAAGTGCCTACAACTGGATTTCTACAACTTATCTGAAGTTGTTCAACACATTTAATAGATAAATACAATATACATTGTGATAATACTGTATTTGTCTTAAAACACCTAAATATTTCGAAATTATGAAATTTAACAGGAATACACATGTTTCATAAGTGTACACAGTCTGAAGCATCATTTGCAATATCTGCTGTATAATTTAGGCTTGAGGAATGGCTAGTGATAACTTGCGACCACTTCCCTTTTAATGGGATTGTCTGAAAAACCAGATACTATGTATGCACAACAGAACACAACTATCACCACAATGAAAGTTTCATTCTGAAATATGTTTTTAAAATTAGAAAAATACATGCTTTATGGATGTTTGCACATAATAGGACAATTTTCTTTGCCAACCCAAGTATCCCACAGTATATCGTCAGAAGCATGTTCGTAATACTACTGTGAACTAAGAGCTGTGTACACACTGCAAGTAGAATGGATAGTTTATTTTAAGTTGTACAAATATTAATAAGGTGTATCCTCATTAGCTGTCAAAATGAGCATGTGACATGAACCAATTGAACAAAAATGATCAAATAATCTATACAGATAATACTGTGTGTTCATGAGCTTCATTTCTTGCTTTTATTGAATACCTTAAACACTAGGGCTGAGTATTTCCCAGAAAAATCATATTGTGATATATTGCAATACAAATGTTTTTTGTACTGCAATACATACTAAGATGTGTTACAAACATTCTTTTTTTAACATCTTTTTCATTAAAATATGCTTCCAAACATAGCTTTTGGCTCTTTGTTCACAATAAGCTCAAATCCTGCTCATCCATCATTTTGTAAGAAACACAACTTGTATGAAATAGCGATATATATAATACCAAATCCATATGAACGTTAAATATTTAATAGGAATTCAAATTTATGTCAGACTTTCTGAAAAATAAACTATTTTAAGTGTTTTAGAATATATTTGTAGCTTATTTAGTTCAAACTCAAAATATTAATCTGTCAAAGCCATGTCATTCACAGAAGAGTTTCATTCTTGCTGGAAGTACAATTTTCCTACAATGGCCCAATAACCAATAATTACAATTCTCATACAATTACTGATAATCTGCTAATTTCCAAAAAGCTCTTGTTTAAAGAATTCAAAGATGGGAATCTTAAAACTCTCATCAGATGAAGATTTACTTCAATTCTATCATTCACAAAAAACATACTGAAAAAGATTTATACATCACTTTCATAACACAAGAAATCAAATTAGCAAAAAATATTTACCAGTGCATCAGTTTATTGTTATACCCCTATTATACTCTATCTGATGTTTATGTTAACTTGCATGTTGGCTATGTCAAAAAATAAATATTTTACAATCATTACTGCACTAAAAATAATTT